TCCATTCGATCTGGTGCTGAATTCTGCAGCAGTATCACCTTTAAAGGCCTCAAAAGGAGAAAGCATGCATCTCATAAGTTTAAGGAAAAAAAGATATTTCCCGGTTATATAGACAAGGTGACCAATGGCTGCGCAAGGCCAGGAGACCTGGGGAAAGGCAACCGAGCAGGTGGGCCTGAGTGGTCAGGAGGCCGCATCCACTTGAAAGGATTTCTTTCCTGAGAGAGTCGCTTTACACCTCTCTCCATCCAGGCCTGCACTGAGCTCCTTGTATGAGGACCAGCCTGCCATCTCCTGACTCAGAACCGCGAAGCAGAGCCCGTCCATCTAGGAGCTGTGTGTCTGGGCTGAGGAAACACGCAAGAAGACTGGCTCAAGTCCACATCCTGTGTTGTGAGCCTGGGTAGGTGAGATGTAACCTCTCCGGGCTTCAGTTCCCTTGTGTGGAAAGCAGGAGCCGCAGACAGGAGGTCTCACAAGGTGGTGTGTGAGGTTAAGTGTGTCACGCTGAGCACATCACGGGGCGCGTGGTCAGTGGGCCAGGACTGCAGCCTTGGTGGTTTTCAATGTTCTCAACCATGTGAAACTGGGATTTAAGGTTCCCAGGCAGTTGAATATTGTTCCATTGTGTCGGTTTCACCCCGCTATGATGAGCAGTAGCCCCCTGTGTGGCTGGCCAGTATGGCTGTCGTTCCCTCATCCCTATGTAGTCCAGGCTCTCCTGGAACATGGGGCCATCCTCCTGCCTCAGCCTTTCCAGTGCTGAGATAATTGGCATGTGCCGGCCCACTTGGCTACTTTCCCAAGGCCAGGTGCTGGTCATGGTGGGATGTGAGTGTCCACCAAGGCGCTTGATCCATTGTGGACAAACTCAAGTCAGTCTGGGCTTTCCCCTGGAGGTGCCCAGCCAGAGAGTCCACTTGGCCAGTTCCTGACACCTGGTTGCACAATGGGAGATTGGGAACCAGGACACTGCCAGTCCATGGAAGGTTGCTGTCTGTCACCCAAAACCTACCCCCACACCTGCAGGGAATGAACTGGCCCTGCGTCAGAGTCCTCACTGGCCAGGCCACACAGGCCAGTGAGCTGGGGGCCAGGCCAAGGTGGAATGCCTTTCCCATGCTCCCTTCTGTAGCTGCCAGAGAGAAGGAGCTGTGTCCCCTGCCCCCAGGGAGTTTCCATGGGCAGATAGAAGTGTGACTTCACATTCCATCTATACAATGGGAAGCCCCTCAGGCAGGTGGGCAAACTCTGGGGGACACAGCAGATGATCAAATAAATGAAAGAAATTTTTGTATTTCCCCATTCCCAAGTTTGTATTATTTTATTTTTCCCAAGGCTGAGAAACCATTTTCCAGTCCTAGGAACTGGTATACTACAACAGGTCTTAGCATTTTAGCAGGCATTAGAATGGGCGGGGGGCAGAAACACAGACTTCTGGGGACTGTGAATCAGTGGATTTGGGTGAGGCTGAGAATCTGTGTTTGTAACAAGCTTCCAGGTTCTGTCACAGGTGGACCTGGGGCTAATACACCTAAGGGTGCTGTCAGCAGTCAGGGATAAATGGAACCTCTGCCTTGCCTCCGATCTCGTAAGACTCTGGCTTTTGTTTGAGTTTCATTTGCCCGCTACGTAGGACAGGGTCCAGTGGCGTGGACACAGGAATCTCCTGATGCTTCAGCACATTCTGGGCTCTGTGCAGCAGCTCCTGCAGCCTTGGCAGGACAGCTCCAAAGCTCCTTGTCCAGGGCAGATGTCTCAGCAAGGAGAGTTGTGAACCCCAGGATGCACGGACACTGATAGTCCAGAAACACAGCACAAACTTTTAAAACATCATCCCTGTGTGAATGCAATGGCTTGTGGTTTGTCCTTTCGCCTAGATGAAAAAGGCAGAGAGACTCTGATGCATACAGCTTCCTTAGAATGCAGGAGTGAATGAAGGAAAAAAGGGATCTGGACAGGAAACGTGGGTTCAGATGCCCAGATACATGCACATTTCAGAGAAAAAAGCACTTTTCGCAGTTTAAGAGCATCACAAATATCACATGGGGCATAGTTATTCTAAAACCCATTTATTGTTGTATGAAGTTCAAATTTATCTGGGCCCCCTATGTATTTATTTGTTAAATCTGGCAACCTTGTCTCCCAGACTTTCTCTGATGTCCTTCTATATCGGGTGGGTGCTTTAGTGATTTCTCTATAGCGGGTGGGTGAATAGTGATTTCTCTCCAGAACCTCACAGGCAACAATTCTTCACGTGGAAGGATTCTTCCCAACAGAAACCCAGATGTCCATCACCTGAAGCTCAGGCTGAAAGGCTGTGGTCTGTGCAGTGTGCATTCAGCTTGACGTGACTGCAGCCATCTTGAGTTCCAGGCCCTCTGCCCCCCACTCTGTCTCCTCACACAGCTTCCCAGCGTGCTCGACTACCAGAGCACTGCAGCGGTGTATGGAGTTTGACAACTGGCCTCTCCTCCAGGAATCCGCCTGAGGAGCCTTTGATACTAGTGTAGGATAAACCAGGTAATGTTCTAGCTTGGATGAAGTCACTTCTGACCCAACTCATGTATGAGCTCCTCTTCCTGACTTGAATTGCGAGGATCCACTTGCTCACAAGGCTGCCTCGGACCCTCTTTTGTGAGTCGGTTCCCCAGGAAACGGAGCTCTGTGCTATCCTGGATCTGTCTGCCTCTTTCTTTGGTCTCATCGCACCCCTCTGCCCATTCTCACATCCAAGGGCTGGTTTGGCCCAGAACAGTAAGATGAAATATCACATAGCCATAGAAAGCAGTGAAGTATTGATATATGCTGCAGCATGGATGACCTTAATGACATTATGCTGAGTGAAAGAGCATTATGTCCCCAAAGGTCACATGTTGCACCATTCCTTTTATGCCAAATAGCCAAGATGAGCAAAATCATAGAGGTAGAAAGAAGATAGGTAAATTTCCAGGTTAAAGGAGCGGAAGAATTGGAAGTGACTGTGAAAAAATTTTCCTTTTGGGGTGGTGAGAATGTTACAGAGCTAGGGGCTGGGGATGCAGCTCAGCATAAGCACTTGCTTGGCAAATCTGAGGTCATGAGTTTGATTCCTAGCACCAGAAAAAAAATGTTAGGCAGCTCAATAGCGGTGATTTACACAACACTATGAATGAAGTTAATGGCATGAACAGTAAATTTTATGCTATGTGCATTTTACCTCCATAATTACAACAGAGAATTGCTCTTTAACCTCAGTGTGCCCCGCCCTATGTGTCAAGGGCTCCAATGTGTCCCTATAAGATGTGTTGCAGTCCCAACTCATCAGTACCTGTCTTTGCAGGGGTAATCAAGTTACAATGAGGTTTTAGGATGGCCTTGACCTGATATGACTGTGGCCTGATAAAAAAGGTGAAACCGGCAGGGTGACACAGGCCCGAGAGCCCATCACTCTGGGAGCTGAGATAGGAGGACAGCAAGTTTGAGGCCAGCCTGGCAATTTAGTGACTGCACGATCCTGTCTCAAATGAGATAGAGAAAATTAGACTGGATATGTAACTCAGTGTGAAGGCCGTGGGTTCAATTCCCAGCACCACAAAAAGAGAAAAATAAACTGAATACAGAGACACAGGGAGATGCCATGTGACACCCAAGGGAAATGCTGAATCCTGCGGGTGGAAGCCAAGGGACAGCTGGGTCTACTAAACCCAGGGAGAGAGTGCTTAGCATGTGGCTCAGGGGCACAGTGCCTGCCTAGCATGGAGAGACCCTAGATCCACCTCCAGCACTGCAAAAATCCCAAACCAAAACAGAAAAGCTAGAGGGTGAAAGTAAGGCTCCACCTCTGGGAGTCTGGCCTGTTCACAACGATTTCCTCCTTTTAGGAGGGAAGACATTCCCGATACTTCATGCCATGGAAGTTTGCAGCTGCAGAACCTCAGAGCTCTGTCCCTCAATTCCCCACCCCCGGAAGAAGCACAGGGCCACAGACACATCATTCCATTGCTTCAGTTTTAAATATTTATTTAAAATCCAGAAGGGAAAAGGAGAAACCCAACCCATTGGGGTTTTAACACACTGACATTTGCACAGGGACAAAAAGAAGACAGCAGGTAAATCCAAAGACAAGACAAAGGCCAGGCAGAGACTGGTGGTGTGGGGAAATGAAGCACTGAGATGAGGCCTGAGCTGCGAAGAAAACCACACTTCCACTTCCGGCGGGGGGGGGGG